CGTAAGTTGAATGAATCTTTAATAGGAATTAGTTCGTGTATCCTCAAAGAATTTGTTGCAAGCACAAACCATTCAACTTTGCCATGAAAATGCCTAGATTAATTTAATTCAGAAAGCTCCCTTTGGACTCTAGAGAAAAATCTTAAGGATATCTCATTAAGGAAACATTCATATAACTTAAGGAAATGATGGTATATTTTAATCTAAAAGAAACTGCAATGACAAACTGCATTTTCTGTTTTTAGCAAAACTTTTACAAAAGCATAGAAGAAACCTGTGGAAGGAGAGGGTAACTACATGTGGGAAAAGACAATCTTTGATAACAGAAAAGGAGTTTATTCAACGTTGAATGCCAGTTTTTTTTACCTGGACTTTGGGGAAAAATGACACTGGAAAATAGTGAACTCTGTGATTAGACTCATGGGTGGTGGTAGAATAAAAGACAGTTCATGATGCAGTGAACAGAACTGGGATTGCAATCAAAGTGGAGGTGGTTTGCTGGGAGTGCACTTGGGATCTTTTAAAAGGAAGCTACAGACAGACTACTCAATGTAGCACCAAACTTGCTTGAAATACTTATCTCAGCTGTTCTAATTGGTCGGAATATTTGACTTCCATTTCTGTACAGCACTATAAGCTGGTAAATATTTTGACTTTTATACAATACTGACTTTTTTCTTTCTTTTTTTTTTTTCAGTGATTCTATTCTGTATGGCAGCCCTAGTATTTCCAATAGGATTTTACATCAATGAAGTCGGAGGTCAACCATATAAACTACCCAATAACACAGTGGTTGGGTCTTCGTATGTACTATTTGTCTTATCCATTTTCTTTACAATAGTGGGACTTCTATTTGCTGGTAAAGTTTGTTTACCTGGCTGATGAATGTCTGAACTGTGGAACTTTATATTGGAAAAGAACAAGACATCAGAGTTGCATTCTCAGGCTGATGCCTAGATCAGACTATCAGATTCTTAACTGAGGAATGCTTGGACTTGTTCTCACTATGCACTTTGGATTAAAAAAGGAGAGCCTTTCCCATAACCAAATACAGACAACGCTGACTAATCTCCTGAGCATATTTAATGCAGTCAGGTCTGCACTGTGATAGGAACTAGTGAAGAATGCTTTACACTGAGAAGCATAATGCCCCACGTTACTCTACTGTTCCTGTTTTTAATGTCTAACAATTCGGAAGTCGAAGTATTTATGAACTTTGTGGTAGACCAGAGGGTTGCAGAGGAATTCAAGTGAGGCTGGCCTCGCTGTTTAGGACTTTAGTATTTTACATCTTCCTTCTGATGAGCAAAGCCTTTGGCACCAATATGGATCAATCTTGCATTACTGCACCAAGAAGCCAATAGATCAAAACATGTTCTCTAAAATGTACGTAACAGCAAGACAACATACATCCCCTTCCCCCCATCAGTGCTAGAAAAACACTAAGGAACATTTTAGAGGAGGGGTTCTTCCTTATATTTATATAAATATATATATATAAATATATATATATTTTGCTGATGCATTATACAGTGTGTGTGTATGTGTGTATGTATGTGTGTGTATATATATATATATGTATATTTGTATATGTATATATACACAAATGGTTCCTGGAAAAGAACTCAGAACGCTTTGCTAGCGAAACACTGTGGTGTGCAAAACTAGAACTCAATAGAAAAAAGCCATTTCTCTGAAGGCCACATAGCTGAGAGTCTTCAGTTTACCTCATTCTTTGTAGCAGCCCTTGATTTTAACAGTTTTTTGTAATAGGTACAAATGATCCCATGCCTTTCTAGGTGCAATTTTAAGTTAAGCTAAAATTCCTTTTATGGTAATTTATTTGTATATGAGGGTAGAAGGTGAGATCATGTCATACCTTAAAGTTAAAATCCTAATTTTGGGAAACTGACACTATTTAAATTATTAGCAACTGTTGTACAGAAAGTCTCTTTTTATACTGCTTTGTTACATTAACATTCATACATGTTCAAGCACAGCTGTTTTCCATAGATAGGCCTTTCTCTAGCACATGTAAAACGCAATGTTTAAATACTGCAAACACTATTCCACTGTAAAGATGGATGAACTTTATGTTCATGTGAGCATTAATTCATCTTTACAAATACTGAGCAATATAATTGTTATAATTGTTACATGCTTTGTTCACTAAGATTGTTATCATAAATGTGAATTTAGGAACCATCTAAATTTGGAGTATTCCTCATTGAAAGTAGTTTTATTTTTCAACACAAAAATAAACCTTTGGCTCCATAGGTGGTCTGATACTTTGCTACACAGTTTAACCTGCTAGAAAGAAAAAAAATTCTTAATGTCCTTGGGAAGTTGCCTGCAGAATCTCCCACTTGATACACGGTTTACCTTTCTGAAATACAAAAAAAAAAAAAAAAACCTGTTTCACATGCTGTCTTGTTGAGCTTAGAAGAGCTGCATTACTGAACTCAAGATTTGTCTAAAATATAAGTGAAAGTGTACTTTAAGAATGAGGATATTATAACTAGTTGTTTCCAAAATAATCACTTACCATATCAGCTTAAGTGTTTGAAAAGAAGACAATTTGCACAATTATTTTAAACTGTGTGCCATTTAGACCCTAATGGGTCCCTGTCCTCTGCCATCTCCTCCTCCTCACCCTTCTCCTACTAAGGTATTTTAACTGAAAAACAATGTTTTATTAAATATGATTTTCATTTGACATTTTTGAAGGAATTTGTTACTGCAGTGCTCAATAACTTCATTCCAATCAGTTCACTCACATACAGAAGGAAATGTTCACAGTAAAATAAGTTTTTCTAAAGTATTCTAACCTTTAAATATAGCCAGATTCAAGCTTCAACCGTTGGTTTAAATTTGATTTTGTTCCTAATTTAAGCCTTGATCTGCATTTGTAGTCTGATCCCCAGTGATGCTGGTGAAGATATGTATGAATGAAATATAAAATGCTTAATCTGCTGGATGGATGTCCATATTTTCAGCATCACTGGTGTTTCCTAAGGTACAGTATTGACTAAAACTTAAATCCTAAATTGCAAAAAACAGCTTCTTCTTTCTTGCAATGTCAGTCTTGTAAATAGTAAGAGATTTTTTTAAAACTGGAACGCAGGCATGGGGGGGAGAGAGTTTCTCAGCTGCTAAAATTTCCCTCCCAGGCTCACTTATTTCAGTTAGAGTAACATCATGTATAACGTGAATTTAGGCTTAGATTAAATGGGTGACCATTTAATTAAAAATATAAAGACTCTGGCTGGCTGGAACTTCATCTGATCTGCCAATGCTACAACTATGAATTATTAAATGATAGCATAGATTCAACTAGCTGATTGTTCGATTAAATATTTGAGCATTTTAAGTCCAGAAAGTCACCTGCATTTTAAAAAAACACACTCTGTAAATGAAAAGAGACAGCTGTCAACAGTTGCTTTTAATAAGGTCATTAAGTACTATATAGTACAGTATTAATTTATAGCAGAAAATCATATCTTGTAAACTGTATATAAAACACTGTTTTATGGTGCAATCATTTGTCAAACTTATGTCTGTTCCTTTTGTTTTAAAGTTGTGTGCATTCTTTTCATACCTAAGAGCATCACTGTAAAATCTGCTGAATACTATTTATAGGTTTTATTTGCACAATGTTTAGTTTTAAACTACAGGAAGTTCACACTGAACATGCCTGAACATCTGTAGACTTTTTCAGTTCATGAAAAGCAAGTGTTTCCATATGAGTTTTCTCCAAGAGTTGTTTACGTAAACTTTGCTGCCTCTGCCAGCCGTTATGTGTAACTTTTTGAAGGACAGCTCATTTCACACATCATTAGAAATCCTTTATTCTTTGGCTTCAAAATTCCCCAGAAGACTGGATGGCGTTGTCGCAATTTAATTTGTGCACGTTTTACAGTTTATTTGGCTAACACAATGTAAGATCAGAATCTCAAAATACCTTCAGAAGGAGAGAACTAGTTGATTTGCCTGTACAAATCCAATAGCCAAACTCGGACAAAATAATCTGTCGGGAAGCTGTTAGTCCCGGCTGCACTTCCTTGGATCACCTCGTAACGTCCAGGTTTCAGTTACCTTGCTGGCAAGTGATACCATTTTACCAAGCCCGCTGGCAGCATGCGCGACGCCTGAGCCTAATCTTCCACTTGATGTAAAAAATAAAACAAAAATCAAACCAGATTTGGGCCCACCACTGTAGAATAGCTGTGTTTCAGAGCCGTTACTTGACCACTCCACAACACAACTGTAGCTTGCTGTCCTTTAAAAGCCCCGTGAAGGATCAGTGATGAAGGAGAAGGAACACGCCGTGTCTGCACAGGGGCCGTCCCACCCGGGAGGCCCCCGCCTGCGCTCCCCCTCCCCCCCGCCCTTTATTAAGGATTGTTTTCTAATTGGTTAGAGCATTTTTCAATTAATGATTTCCGAGCAAATGTTAATACAGACTGTATAAAATGAACATAATTTTCTTCACTTGTATTTTTGTTATTGAGCAAGTTTATCAAAATAAATTGTCTACGAAAGCACCTGGCCCCGGCTGCGCTGACTGGAACCGCCCCCCTCCCCTCAGCGCTCTGCGCACGCGCCGCTCCAACGGCCTGAAAATCGTCCTTGCTGCGCGCTCCCTGCGGGGCTCCCGGCCGCGCCTCCGCTCCTCTCTGCTGACTGCGCAGAGGCTCTGGGTTCCGCGGAGAAGGAACCGGATAAAACCCTTTAGCGGCTTTTAGAGAGCATCTCTAAGTACTGTCTCTATTCACCGGTAATTGTAGCTTCTCCTGGCGGCTGTTTTTGTGTTTCTTTCGCTCTTATCACACGTGAAATGTAATTATCATACAAGCTGCTGTCAGTACTAATACCCTTCAAAACATGGAATATACCTTTCTTTTTTTATATAAAAACTTCTCCTTTAATATGATGCTTTTTCATTCTTTTTTTTTTTTTTTCCTTCTTCTTCTTAAGAAGGCTAAGTCTCCGTTCCTGTAATGGATACATGCCTGGGGAAAATGGCAGAGTTGCTGGACAATGATCAGTTTTTGGAAAAAGTGGGGTAAGGTACCATTAGAAAAATCTTACTGGGAGTTTATAAGTAGATACAGAATAAATAATTGTAGGCTGTATAAACTGTGTACTATTTCCTTTGAGGTATTTCTGGTACATCAGATGGAGTATGTCAGCAAATGCCAAAATGCTCTCCTGTGTGCAAACGATTTTATAAGACTTTGTGTCAGTAAGGAGATGTTAAAAGTAGCGTAACGATGCCATAAAACTCGCTGTCCTGTAGGGTAAGCACAAAGCCCTGCTTGCGGAGCGCCCGCCCGCCGTGGCAGGACCATGCAGCGACGGAGCTGGATGGAGATAACGGGCTTGTGGTAACACACATCAACCAGGCGCACGATCTGCTGGTAAGGCAGTTTTCCTGCTAAGCAGAGCAGCTTCACAAGTAGCTTCTCATACTGCATTCTGTATTTCCCACTTGATCTATAGAGAGTTAAAATGATGAAAAATCAGTCTAAAAAGGTGCAAACCACTGAAGAATGGCTCAGAAACTACGGTTTAGAATCCTTGCAGTTAACACTAGAGCATCTGGTGAATGAAGGCAATATTCTGTAAGTACAATGTTGCCTTTTCTTTATAATAAGTCCTAATTTGTGTGCATCTCATGCTAACTATGCATAATGTTCTAGGGACTCGGGAAATGCTGTTGAGGAGATAGAGTTAACAGAAGAGAGGATTACTGATTTTGAGTCCAGACTTTCTGAGTAAGCATGTGTCTTGTTTAGGATCTTGAATTGTAACTGATTCTATACTTCCTTCTTTCTTTATGTGCTCACGGGTATATACAGACACCAGATTAGTATTAAAAAAAAGTAAGAATTTGAGACTATTTCAGTACTAATTCCTATCTGCTGAGTTTTAGGGTGTCACTACTATTTTTTTAAGAAGGTAATTATAAACTAGGCTTTCAGCTAGCTCATTTTAGAAAGGCAACTACTGAATGGATGGATTTTCTCAGGTAATATTATGCATCTGTGAGTAACAACATTGCTTGTTACTCGGATTAGCTTTGAACTACCAGTCCAATTTTGAAAGGCAGCATTGCATGATTTTCTGTTCAGTGAATGAAATGCTGAAAGGATTTTGCACTAGAACTAAGCAGGAGGGAAGAACTCTGTCTGGACCCTGAGGTTTACCAAGTGAGTTTTAGATGTATGGAATCAAAGAAACTTGTATTGAGAAAGAGATGTAATGAATAGATTCAATAAGCTGTACAATAATCATAATATTCTGCGAATCTTCCCAATCCTTCTCTTAGCCTATTCAAAGCTCACTGAATTAGTCTCGAAGATCCAGGTTCTTCAGAAAATCCATCTTCAGCCCTTGCTGCTTGTGCCATCTAATTGAACTTCTCTAAATGCAGCTTAAAAAAAAAGTTGCTTTGTGTTTTGAATGGGCAAAGAGATTTTTCCCCCATTTCAATTTTTTTTTTTTTCCCCAGACAGTTACTTGTCTAATCTGTTAAACAGCTCTAGAGGTACTTAAATTGTCAGCCCTGCAGCCACCAGTTGTATGAGAACGCTGAAAACAGTTTTTTTAAAAGGTGGCTGGGCATCTGTGAGGAAAAGGGCATAACGAAGATGAATGTTTGGATGTGATTTTGATGCACAATGCAAGAATGCCTTAGCTAAATGTGTGCTATGCCTTTTGTCAGAGTGATTGAACTTTATCAGCAACGAATTCAGTGGCTGTTGGAGGACAGCAAAAAGGTAACTTTAACTTTGCAGTGTGTTTTTAGAGGGGAACTGTATATGGTACCAAAGAATAAATTTACATTTGAATGTTGGTACAAAGTGACTTCCAGAAGGCTTAGGTAAAAGATGCTGGAGACGTTTTTTCCTCTTCTCAAATAACCAATAGATCACTTCGGGAAGAAGAAAGTATGAGTTTCTGTTAAGGGCGACTTGGGAGCAAGTAGTTCTTGTTCCTTGTTCTTGCATGTTTTTTCTTTGTTTGTTTTTGACTTCGTCACTGACTCTTTTTTACACTAAAAAGCTCAAAATGAAAATAAGTATATGGTATTTGAATCCAAAATAGTATCATAGAGAATAAACAGTACCATTTTTAACCTTCAAATAAGTTTAGTAATTGCAATTACTTTACTTTTTTAAGGTGTTCGGCCTTATAAAAGGAACTAAAGTTGGACTTATGGTTGATGTATCTGGTATGAGTTGCGGACCAAGGCTGCTGGGTTTTCAGAATGATCTTTTGGTAAGTAATAATGAATCAGACTTGATTCTAATGAATGCCACTATGACATTAATAAAGCCTCTGTGTAACTACAAGCAAGTAGCTACTTGGAGAAAAAACATCTGTATTTCAAGCATTTGGATTCAAGTATTTGAATCTATATGTCATTTCTTGAAAGTCTCTTTTTCCTCTCTCTCCTCTGTGGTAGCTGAAAACAGGCTTGTCAGCTGTTTTTGGCAGATAGGTATTTATATTATTTGTGCAATAATTCCTAGTAAGAGCATGGATACTAATGCATTAACACACTTTTTTTTTTTTAATTAGAGCTTAATAGATGAGCAGCTGTGTCATAAGAAGCAATTGTACTGCCTTTCCTTCGGTACTGAAATTTCATCTCTTTGGGAGAGTCCAAAAAACATCGATGTTCATGTGTAAGTTAGCTTCTGCATAAAATAAAGACATTTCAAACAAGTTTTCCATTTAATTAGAGCAATCTCTTGTTGCTAATAAATCAAATTGTTAGTCTTGTACCTGTAGTGTTTTGTAAAAGGAGGGGAAAAATCACAGTGAATTTTAAGTGCCATCAGTTATTTAAGGTGATTTCTTGTTGCATTAGATACTTTAGCAAGTCCTGTGGTTTGCAGATCTGTTTAGCTCAGGATGTGTGTGTAAGGTGTACATATTTCTTCTTCTGTTTTCCTCTAGGCTTCATGAAGCAAGGCAGTGGGTACAGCAGCTGGAGCCTGGTGGAGGCTGTAATTTGCTGAAAGCCTTAAAACATGTCCTTACAGTAAAAGAACTGGATTCCTTAGTTCTTATTGTAGGAAGCTGGTAGGTCATTATTTTCCTTAGCAACCAGCTCTAACTTCAATATAGAATTGATATAAGAATCTGAACTGAATACAGAAAAAAATGGAAAATTTAAAAGCTAGGTTTTAAAGTGTCCACACTTCTTGGAAGATCAGACTTGGAAGATCAGACTTCTTTCTTTTTCGGGCTAGATTTTACTATGAAATAACACTAAAAATTCAAATTTACTCTCTCTGATATTACTGATGCTGGTGAAAAAGTTAAAGTGTCTGATTAAATAAACTAAACCAGTCAGCAAGGTCTGCTGAGATTAAAAAAAAAGTATTCTGCAAATTCTACATTCTGCAGTTCTGTTCTGCTAACGTGAAAAAATTCATCACTGGAGTCATGATTACAAGAGAAGAACCGCAGTAAGGGTTCTGACAGTGTTTCTCTACTCATTTATTCATTGTATTTATTTTAAATGTGCAAGCAAGGAAGGGGTGTAAGCTTGGTAAGCCTGGTAGTTAAGGTGATAGACATTAAATTTCACCTTACTTGTTCAGTTACAAGATTCCAAGTTCTGCCTAGGTCTGCTTTGAATTGTAACTAAAAGATTATAGTGAGTTCAAGTGAAATTTTCCTCCTTTCCATCTCTGGCAGAAGTTTTAATCTTTCTTTTTTCTTTCTTTCTTTCTTTTTGATCAGCCCTGATCAGTCATTGGAAATACTGGCTGATTATGTTCAGCAGTGTATGTTGGGAAGCAAACTACTAATTCATGCTGTTATACATGATTGTAGCAATCCTGCCTCTCTTGTAAGTAATTGTGTTAATACATGTTTCTAAAGAGTCCTGTAATATATATTTCCTATTCAATGTCTTTCTCATAAATTTGCAGAGATGTTAGACAAATCTTTAATGAGTTACTGAGATGTACTTTCTTCAGAGCAGATTTGCTCAAGTGAAAGAGCTTGTTTGGAGAATCTCAGTTTCATCAACATAGTGGGTTCCAAAGCCAGAAGTGGTAACTAAATATGGTTTTATTGCTCTGTTCCCAAGTGGTGTTCACTGACTGATCAGCTTAGAAGCAGCACTTTTCTCCATATAATGGTCCCGTGTGTTTATGGAGAGCTACTGTGGCTAAGAGCTCTTTTGCAAGTGAAAGCAGAAAGGTAGGGGACTTTAGGTAGGTTACCTTAAGGAGAAGGATTGGGAAGCAAAATGGATCACCCAAGAGGTACTTGGGAGTGAAGCCGTAGGGCCATGGCAGTCTCTGGGATATGAATATTCTTGTGTGGGATAGCACCTGTGCAAACCCAGCAACCCTGCTCAGATTACACTGCAATGGTTGATTAAGAGCAGTGGTTTGTATGCTAGTGGTCTCTACAAGTTTGGAGGAGGGCAGAAAGATAAACTGTTACTCGTGATTAGTTTCTGCACAGAAACTTGTTCCCCACTCTTGATTGCTGATTTAAGCACATCCCAAAGGCATGATATTGACTACAGTGGTAGGAAGGATGTGGTTGAAATCCTGATTTGGGGAGGAAATGAGGTGTTTGTGTGTTAAGACTATTGCAGTAGTAGTGGGGAGAAGGATTACAGTGATAGATGGCAGAAGAGGAGGAGATGAGAAGTGAAAGAAGGAACAAAGCACTGAAGGAGGTACTGGTGGGCAGAGGAAGGATAGCCTGATATTAGACATGCCCATGATCTGACCAGTGCAAGTTACCTTGAGAGGAAAACCAGTGAACTTTTGCATATAAATGCAAAGTGAACTAACTCATCCCTTATTGCCTATTTTTAAAATTCTTTACTGAGTTAGGTTTTTCCCCCATATTAAAATAAAGCTAATTAGAAAGCATCTTATAATGATTTTGGTTTGCTTGATAAATATACCTTAAATATACCCTTTTCTGTCTCTAATATTAAAGAATTGAATAGCAACAAGCCATGTTATCAAAGGGGATGACTACATCCAAGTAACAGTACTTCTTTTGATTTATTTCTGTAGGCAGTTATAAAGAACCTTGCAGAAGTTGTAAGAGGTCGTTACCATTGCTACTCTTCAAAGGGAGAGGTAGGTGCAGCTGAGGAGGGAAAGTTTTTTTTTTCTTTTTTTTTCTTTTTTTTCTTTTTCTTTTTTTTCTTTTTTTTTCTTTTGTAATTCTTCAGTCTTAGAAAGTAAACTGCTCATCATCTGATTGGTAGTTTATTAGCAAGACCTAGTGCCAAAAGTCATCTTCAGAGAAGTGCCCAGGATGTGCCCAATAAACATGTGTGTAATTCTTTCAGCAATTGAAAACTCTTTCCTAAAAGTACAAGAAATTTTGAAAAAAATGTTTTTTTTTTGACTCAGAGCTGGTGCATGGCATGAAATCAGTGACAGGCTTGACATTGTAGAGCAATTCAAGAATTTCTTTTCTGTAAAATAACAACTTTGGTATACAGTGGATTAAATGCATCCACACTTGATTCTGCTGTGCCAGGTGGTCTTGTATGGATGAGTGCACATTCAAACAGAAGAGCCTGGATTGGTTGATATTTGAACAACAGGAAACTTTTTTTCTTTTTTTTCCCCCACCCTTGTTTTTGTATGTACAGAAGTATGATAGTAGTGATGTCGATCTACTGCTTCAGGAGTACCAGAAGGCTAAAGACTTGATCAACAACGTCAAACAGCTTTTTAGGAGAAGAATCAGTGGTTCATTTACGGGTAGAAGAGTGGATGTATGTATTGCATTTGTTATTTTCATATGTACTTTGAAGTATCATGATCTTCATGACCATTATTTGAAAATATGTATATGATTACTTAGGTATTTTGATAAATAAAGTTTTGTTTAAAAAAAAAAAAAAAAGACTTGGCATCCCTTACAAGAGTACACTAAGGCCAAAAAATTACAGAGGAGACATTTTGCTAGACATTTCTCTGAAGTGCAGCAACTTTTGCAAACCAAATACAGTGGAAGAATAAGTTTTACCATGATCATGATGAAAATCCCCCAAATTTTTAGCCTGTGTACATGATCATTTAAATGAAATTTAAGCAATCCTTTAAATTACTAAAAAGATACTTGTTCCTATCTGATTAAGGTGGTGCTTACACTAATTGCAAGATTGAATGAACTTGTCTAGATCCATCACTTGTTATGTAGTGAGGAAGTTACGGTCTCTGATACACGTATGTCTCTATTGGTCCTGTCTTGTGACGACTTGCCAACGTTCCTTTGTTAACCATTGCTTTGCTTCTATTTTCATGCCTTACATGACCAACATACCAGAGGCTTTGCTTCGTTTGTCTTTTGTCTAATGAAATAATTTCTAAATGCTCTGGATGAAATTTGGATGAGGAAGATAAAGCAGAAGGATAGGAGGAGATTCTTTATTCCAGTAGAAATCCTTGTCAAGAGATGTTTGCTCGTCTGTTTCTCTCATCTTGTGCAGATAGGAATATTAAGTGTCTCTCTTGGCTTGCTGTTTTCATCTCTGTACTTTCCAGGGGCCTGGAACCTTATAAAGTGGCTGATCCGTTCTATACTAGATATTTAGCAGGGAGAAACCAAGTATGCTGTTGTTTACAGGAGTCCTTCTTAAAATCTATTTTAGGTTTCCACAAAATATACTACACCGTCCAACTTACCAAAGCCTCCAAAGCATGAAGGACAATTAGTTATTCGAACACCAAACTTCCCAGCCAAAACTTCAAGAGACTGGTTAAAGACAAATGGATTGAAAGGTAACATAAAATCAAACTTGTATGAAACATAAATTGAAGATAAACCTTGTATTTCCTATAATTTCTTTATTCCTTCCTACAGCTAAGAAGCTGAACATTTATCAGGTTTTGGCTCCTAATGCTTTCTCTCCTGTAGAAGAATTTGTACCTATTCTTCAAAAAACAGTAGCATCAACTATACATGAGGTAAGGGATGGGAACCCCTTGCATCTTTTTCCTGTTTTTATTTCTACTTCATTTTTCTGGTAAAAATCATTACTCTGTAATATAGTGACATGCTACAGCTTTAATTGAAGTAAACTTCATGTTCATGTAGTTTATATAGGCTTCTGTAAACACCTAATTACAGTATTTATCCTTCTAGAAAGCTATGCTGCAGTTTGAATGGCATGATGGAACTGTGAAAAATATCCATGTTGATGCACCACTATTATACAACTATCAAGTGAGTTGTCTGGGGTTGTCTTGGTCTCATCAGGGCTAAATTACCCTGTTCTCAGGCTTGCAGGTGAATTACAGACCTGGCTAGAATGGGGGTGTTAGCATTTTTTGGTATTTGCCATGGTCAGTGTAAGCATCTATTAACCTTAAAATTGTTTATGCATAAGGAGAGTGTTTACATTGTACAGAATATTGACATTTTGCACAAGTAAGGGGAAGAACAGGAGAGTTTAGACTTTTTAGACACTTTGTGTATGAGTGTTGGGGGAGTGTGACTGTATGTTCTCCTCATGGATTTTACTCTTTTTTGCTTTTCAATAATTTTGACAATGTTTTGACATTAATTTTTTCTCAGTTGTTCTCAGTTATTTGTTTCATTACGGTGCTGCTATTTCACTTCTAGATTAAGTGTTTTGTAATAAAAAGACTTACTTGACTTATAGCTTATTTCTTCTATATTTTATCACAGAAACTCCTTGGTAAAATGGTAAGAATCTATGAGAGACGAATTGACTGGCTATCTGCTGCCAGCAGAAGAATATGGGGAAGCGTTTGTGAGAGGAGGTATTGTGTTTTGACAACCCTTTTTGTGTGTGTAGGCAAAAAGGTCTTATTTAAGGGTCAACAGCCAATATGGTACTGCATGTGCTAGTACCCTTAGTAAATTACATACCTTAGTAAAGCTGATTTCCTTTACTGAGCTAACATTTTGCAGATTTTTTTCTATATATTCAGTATTCATACATTTTTATTCATGGTTAGAAGATAATTTCCTTATTGAGTTGAAGAATACAGTGAACATAATATCTAATTAAATAAGATTTTTTTGACTAACGCATTTCTTATGTAGGGTGGTTATACTTGTTGATATATCAGTGACAAATTCTACGTACATCATCCATATTCAACATTATTTGCGACTCTTGCTTGAGGAACAAATGTCAAATAAGGATTACTTCAATATTATAGCGTAAGCAGACATTTAAGATTTTCTTTTAAAGTAATTGTAATGCAATGTAAGATGTAATGGATTATAGTTGCTAATAGTACATTTTAGATTTTTTAAAATTAACATTTCATGGTGAAATATTTACAAGAATAGTACTAATGTATGCTTATTGGATAGAAGTATTGATACGGAGGTCAATTTAGTAATTAAAATCACTGTTTTATTTGAGGCTCACTGAAATTGGATGTGTCATACAATAGGAAGAGAAGTCTATATGTGTTATTCATAACAATATTCATTCACAAATCAGAAACTTTTTCTATAAGAGAATTTTGGAGACCTCACAGATATCATTACTGAAAATACCCTTTAAAATAAACAGTGACTCCAATAGTTTTTCTAATACATACAACTACTACAGTATTGTTCAGCTGCCCAACAGCTGCTGCATATCAGGAAACAGTGAGAGGCAGCAACTCCAGAGTCCCAGACTCTGTGGGAGATCAGAGCCCTTGCCTCACAGGAGGGACATAGCTCTGGGTCGCATCTCAGGGTTGGGATTTTGTAGGTTTGGTTGTTTTGGGTAGAGGGAAGGACAATCCTCATAGCTTCTGCTGAGCTTTACCAGGTCACTTATCTTCTACTGAGAAAGGAAAATGTATTTAGGTCCACAGCGTTGAAGAGCTCTCCACCCTAGATAATGGATAAGTGAATAATTAAATGGTTTGTAATAGGAACTAGCGTAAGATAATTTACATCTAGAATACCCCAAATCTTTTTTTTTTTTTCTTTTTTTTTTTTTTACTGAATTTATTCCATATACCTGTGTGTAAAACATGATCTGGAAATTAATTTCTGTTATCTTTCTGTAAAAGCTTTGGGAATGACATTGTGCCTTGGCAGCCAGAACTGGTTCCTTCCCAGCCCAAAAACTTACAAAGTGCATGGAGGTAGGATCAAATAACTTGGAGTTTTTAATTAAACAAATGGACTTACCATAAAACATATACTAGGTATATTAGGTTTAATCAGTGTTGTGAACTATTTAAAAATAGAAACGTTGAGTATATTACAAAAATAGATTACCATGAACTATTTGTTCATGATGGTTTGTTGTGAAAACAGCATCATAGGGACTTTGTATTTCGAGTGATCAGCCTATGGGTACAGAAGTGTCCGTGTAAGAAACACACTGGATACATGTAAAATTCCCAACAACTTCAAGCTGAAGTGAGGTCCAAAAGCCAAGGTGTTTATTTTCCACACACACACACTGGTACCCAATTCCAAGTTTTTGCCTGTGTATTATACCCTCTGTATATACCTCCTGTAGCTTTACTTTGTTCCATAGCAAAGCTATAAATTCTATTACAGTTATTCTGCATAAAGTGCAGAGATAGATAATTCATTTCAGTTCTCTGTCTCTTACCTTAAAAACTAGTCTGCCATGGTCACAAACCACAGTGGCCAGAGTTTATCATATAACCTGGTTTTGCTGGCTGTTACTGTTAAAATTTTCAGATTCCAGTGCAGTGTTACTTAGGACTTTTAGCGTTCTCTCTTTTGTTTTAAGCTGAAAAGAAATATATATGTCATTGCTTTATTCTTTGACCTGTGTTTACATGTAAAACTTGTCCTTTAAGGTGGGTGTTGAGCTTGCAGTGCAAAGGGAGTAGAAATTTAATGTCTGCTCTCAGGAGGGCTGTGGAAATAGATTTCAAAGACAAAGATAAACACAGATCACAAGGAATATATCTGCTTACTACTGGGATACCTGATCAGGAAACAGTGAGTATCATCACAGATTTTGCAACTATTAGTAAATTTCTATCCAATCAAACTCAACTTCATTTTTCTCTCTTTTTTTTCTCTTTATGCCAGTCACTGTAGTTTGTTGGCAAAGTATTTCTTTTTCATGTGTCTAAACCAGCATAAATCTTTGGCTTCGATTTCTACAATTGCTGTTTGTGTGTTGTAAATAGTAAATGTTAGTAATGGGTATTAATATCAAATAATATTAATCATACATAGTTTTGGAGATATTTTGGGGATTCCTCTCTCACTCCAGCTTTGGTTATTATTCCACTGGCAAATTTCTGAGTGTGAAGAAGCCAGCTCTGACCATTAATATTATGATATCATTCCCTTTTAATCTATGGGAGCAAAGCTGCAAGTAATTTTACAGTGGAAATTTATAATACAGTATGTAGACAAAACTGCCTTTCTGAATAACAATAACCCATTAAAAGCCCATGTTGATAATGTGTCCCAAAATTCAGGTGAGTGGGTCCCTCCTGACTTCTTTGTGTTAGTACACATCTACCTTGACATCCGTGAGTCAAGTCTTTGCTGCCCATATCAACCCACATCTCACGTCCTAGCTGCAGCAACACTGTTACCTTTGTCACGAGTACTGGCAGCAGCAGCAGTTTTTGTGTATGTGCATGATCAGAAAATGCAGTCAGCCCCTTGCGTGGTGTTCTTGTACTGCTCGGGTTGGGGATGTTCGCACCACAGTTCAGGAACCAGTTGAGTAGACAGGAACTCCTCTAAGGTAGAAGGTCACTACTCTGTGTGTGCTTGTTTGTTTGCTTGTTTATTTGTTTTTTGTCTTGCAGCACACGCTTAGTGCTTATGTGGCTGAGACCTGCAGCGGTTGTGATTTGCAGCTCCATGTTTGTCTGTTCAATGTTGTGGCAGATGTCGACTCCGGGAGCGTTATTCCAGCTCGCTATGCAAATCCAGACGAAACTGCCGGTGCTTTTAAAGAAATTGTGCAGGCAGCTAATGGAAGATTTCATTGGTTTGGAGAAGCAGGTATGTGAAAAGTAAAGTTGGTAGATAATACTTTTTCATTAGATAATGTTCTTTATTAGTGCCTTTTTTTCTCCAAAACAAATAATTTATTTTCTAGGATATGACAGTGCTGTACTAGCACTGAGATACAAACGGAGGTCCTAGCCTGACTAAGGCTTGCAGTTACATTGCAGAATAAAAATTTTGTTATAGCGTACCTTTAATGCAGGAATTTGAATTTAATTGAAATAGATTTTTTTCTTCTCATTACTTTTTCAAATGCTCTAAAAGTTGTATACAAGGTGTTTATCTACTGATAAGCATATATTTGACTATCAGGTATTTTTGAAAGTGATGATATCAACATTATTGTGTCTGAAATGGAAAAAGCAATCAGCTACTCCCACAAGGTATGTATGTTATGTTTTTCTTCAGGGGGAAAAAAAAATCAGCAGTGTTAGTGTATCTGACAGTGCAGAAGATGGGACCAAATGAAAATCCTTATCAAACAGGTAGCAAGGACCTTAGGAAGAAATTATATAATAGCATTGCTGTGGTTGATATTAGACTGTCAGTGATTCCATACCAAATATAAGGAGATGAGTTAAAGTGGTTCTTCCTGTTTGCAATCACATGATTTTTCAAGTATAAATAATTGTTCCTTTATTCTATATAAATCACAGTGGAGAGAGGCAGTGTTGTTTTTGGCATGGTATATCTGTTAATTTCTAAAAAACTGATTTCTCAAGTGTACTGAGGGTGTAGAATTAAACAAAACAGTACCTCTCCCTGTTGTGTGCATTGTTTCCAGAGTGCTACCAGGCAAAGTAGCTGAGGTAGTATAGGCAGCCTAGCAATATGATAGTTGATTCTTACAAAATTATAATTATAGAGATGTATACAGTGAGATTTCTGTCCAGAGGTCTGGGCCAGTTGTTGCACGCTAGCCTGAGCATCAAAAGTTTTTTGATGAGAAAAATTGCAGGCAAGAGGAAGGAATATTTAGTGGGACTTTTTTGCTGTTTTATAGTGTCATTTAACATATGCATATATTAGGTTGCACATACTGGGTTGCCTTGCCTTTAGAACATCTACTCGGAGCAGGGAGGATTCCCTCCTGTGTGTTTGAACAAGCATAGCATGAGACGGCTCTTCTTGGGCTAGGGCTGTTAAGTGTTACCACACTGATTAATTTGGTATTAATCGCATGTATTATTAAAATAATGTCTGTCTTTGAAATGTTTTTTGCTTAAATTGCCTGTGTATGAATTATTAATCTGAATTTTCATTTTAGTGTGCGCTCCTAGTGAAATCCTTAAAGCAACGTTCAGGAACTCAGTCTGTTAATCCATTTATACCAGAAAGACATTCAAAGATGCTTGTGAAGAAAGAGAAAAAATGGCCACAGAAACTGCCATCTCCAAAACCCACAGCTCTGAGTCTGGCTAGAATGGTTTGAAATCCTTCCATGTCCCATATTTAAGATGCTGTCAATTTTTTATCAGTGATCTTAGCTGAGTATCAGATGAATATCTCTTTTTCAAGACAAGTGCTCAGGCTGAAAATTTGAAGGAAAAAAAGAACATTACTGTGGTAGTACTCCAAATTCATGTTTTAACTTGCATTCAAAATGTTACATAAACAAAAAAAAAGAACATTTTAATCTTGCTAAGTGATTAAATATAATGGAAATAAACTGTAGTGTCAAAAATTTGATTAAATAATGCCTCCTTTGATCTTAAAAATCAGTGTTTAACAATGACAAAGGCAGAGCACAAATCTATTTACCAAGTTACCTTTATCTTACAAAGCCTTCTAGTGAATATTGAATTGCATGGTATCCTGTTCATCTACACAGGCAGCTGAAGCTGAGTAGCACTGATTTAGGATTAGAATTCAGGATTTGTCACCTTCCTCCTGTGCTTATTTTCATTCAGTCACACTATTTCTGTGAAATCTTTTGGGTTTTCTAACATTTTCCTTGTTAATTTTGACTGCATACACGTTTTGAGTGGGTGTGCAAATCTGCAATGCACATTATGACTAGTGCCAGTGCTTACCACTTTGGTATATACGTGGTTAGACACATAACATAATGTTTCAGAGTATATAATTTAACTTTTGATATGAAAGTCTAAGGTTTCATCTTTGAAATAGGAATAGCTTTGTCCAGTGTATGTGAGCTCATGTTGGAAAGACTTTTGTAGGTGAGCTCAACAGGTCAACGGTGTTATTTTATCAAAAATAGTGTATGCTCAACACCATCTCACAAATGCAGGAAAAGAGTAATCGCCCAGAGATATAAATACATAGCATAGGTATATAAGAATTAAACATATAAGAAAACAGGTTAGTCTCTACATGTCTGGTATTTCTTTCGTGTGGTGTTTACAACTGAGCTGTAAAATAAATTAGAAAATTGAGTATTGATTAATTGAATGTCCTATGACCCAGTGGAGGTCTGATCCTATTGGGTTTTCAATACTTCATAAAACCTTGGAAGAAAATACTATGTAATGTATTCTATAAAATAGTGCCACTAGTATAACAGACTGCTGCTTCAAGTAGTAAAACAAAAAATGATCTAAACTTGCCTGTCTCTAAAGATGTTACTCTTCCGTTTTTTGGCAGCCATTGAAATTGGCAGATAATTGAGACACAGCAATTAAGTAATTAGCATAGCAAGAAATCACATTAAAAAGTCTGTACTGCAGTCTGCTGTGTCAGAAGCATGAGAGTGAATCAAGATGTAGAGAATACTGAAAGCAGGAAGTATCCTTCGTAAGCTACGCAGTTATGATCTAGCTGAAATATTTAATTTCCTGTTCTCATAGATTATTAAAAGTAACCATTGTGAAGAGAGAAATGCTGATGTAAGAGCATTGAAGTGGCGTCCTACTAGTGCCAAAGCAGAAATTCCACCAGGTCTGTATGGATTAGGGGAGTTTTAGTTTTCTTTTTCTTTCATTTTTGTTAAGGTAATATTACATTAGAGGAGAGACATGTAATTTAATTTTAAGTATGTTACTTAAATTTGAGCATTGATATCTACTACTATTGAAAACAGATTGTTCATGTGAAGTAATATTTTAAAATCTGGATTACTTTTGCGTGTGAGGTTCTGTGTGATGTGTTAATAGGTTCTTTCAATATATTCTGTTTATTCTAACCTCTGACCTTTTATATAGTGACATTCTTCTTGATGGTAATTTATAAATTGCTAAAGATTTTGGTTGTCACTCGTATGAAAGCGGCATGAGCAGGTCTATAATATGGGTTTTGAACTGAGATCTAAGAAAAATAATATTTTTATCTGTGGCAACAGGAAGCTATGAACTGAAGCAGACTGTTTGTCAGAGTTTTATCCTTAGTTGAAACAAGACTTTTTTTTTCTTTTTCTTTGTTTTGTAGCGCAAACAGTAAAAGAATGGTCTCAGAATGGGAGTAAAAGAAAATGTAAATCAAAGAAAAAGCCAGAGTTCTCTATGTCAGTATTCTATACTGATAGAGGAAGAAATGTGGGTAAGTGTTTATCAAGATGTGATGGTAAATATATCAACCTTTTATAGTAAAAATATTTGGATATTAATGGACCAATAAAGAGTGGCCTTTAAAATGTTAATAGAAGTGAGTTTAAGATATCAAATAGTGGCTGCGTGTATATTTTGAGATCTTCTGTAAAGGTGCTGTAAGGAAAAAAAGCTGTCATTGTGGTGTACAAGGTGTACAAGAGAAAGCATGGTTTGGAATCTTTTGCACAAAATAAGTTCTAAAAATAAGTGACTATATATAAATAAAAGTTGTTTGAAGGCATCTTTTTGATGTACTTTGTCAAATGCAAAACTGTGAAAGAGTGGTGGCCTTCTTATCAAGAAGAAAGCTCTCATGTGACTTCAGAAGGGCTGTGATTTTAACCTGAGGCTCCCGTATTACCTTATTTGTCTTCTTACGAGGTGCTGTATCCCGAAAGTATCCAGAGAGAACGAACACAAGGAAGTTGGTTCCTTCTGTTACATTACCAAAAAAAGAAGAAATCTGTTCAAGTGAAGAGGTATTTAGTTCATTACTAATAAACTGCCCTTTTAGAAAAAGCTTAATATGAATTAATATGAACGTTGTGATGTATATTGATTTTTCTGTACAATGTATCATTACTTAGTAGCCAGTGGTAATGTTTACTAATTCAACCACTGCTCCATTTGCTTGTCTTACAAGTGGCTGGCCAAGTACAGTATTAAGAAGCTTAAACTGGAATTGCCCAGGCTGATGTTTGGTCCACACTGTACTCACCAAAAGAAAATTGTGGAGTCTCTGCATAAGAAAGTATCAGCAAAATATTGTGCTATCTTCCCTAGTGTAGAAATCAATGTAAGTTTTTGTAAGTATTATGTATGTACATCAGTGAAACAGCTGTGTGTTTAAGACAGTGCACACTGGTGACTGGTTGTGCCTTGCTAGGGTGATGCTCATCATGTAATTTCCTGTTCTCTCTCAATTACTCTGCAAAGAAAACTAGAAAGGTGGGTTTGTTTATATTCAGTATGAGAAATATTTGTTATATTTGAAGTGCAAACTGTATGGGATCTTTAGATTGTATGGGATCTCCTCTGTTCATACAGTCTGAAAAACATTTTAAAGCAGGGATTTTATTTAATTCTTTAGAAATCATGTGCAAGTGGAAACTGGGAAGCTGTTGAATCTTCATTACCTTGGTTTGTGGAATAAGTGGAGAGAAGCATAGCAAGCTAAGTCTAAGATATTGCTGGTCTATTGCATGTATAAAACTATCACGATAATGCAAACAGATGACCCTGTCCGGTCAAATGATATAATTTTGTTGTCATGAACAAGTGACTGAGGTGAGAATAGGTTTTCCTAATTTGAGTAAACCAACTATTTAATAGCAATAGAGTTACAAAAGTGTTCTTGCAGCATTTCATATATTTAAAGATTAAAAGAAAAAAAAAAAGAGCTAATCTCCCTGATTTCTAATGCAGGTAATGCATATAGAGCAGCTGAACTCAAATCTTGTGAAATAAGATGCTCTTGTACAAATTGGATTTTTACAGGGGGTTGTGAAACATCTGCAGTTTCGGCCTAAAGAGCTGGAAAGCTATGTTGAACAAATGGAGAAGGTGTTGCAGCGCTATGTACAAAGAATACAGTGGCTTCTGTCAGGTATTGCATCAGTTTTTTTATAAAGCATAGGTTAAAAAAAGTCTTATTTGCTCTTTCTACTAGGATTAATCTGGACATAGTCAAATATGGGATAGTCAAATACAAGGTTCAAGCAAGGAGCAATTTTGTTTGTTTATTCTTGCAGCCACGGAATGGTTGCAAAACTGTCCTGATATACTTGCAGCTTGCTGTTAAATAACTAGTGCTGTGATGTACATTTTCACTCTCTTTATGTTAAATTGATGAATACTACTAGGCAGATGTTGCTATTATCAGAAATTTTCTGTTAACAGAATGTATACAGGAATGGTTGTAGGAAAAAATGTGCTTTTTTGCATCTTTTATGCACTTTCAGTGCCCATTTAATGGGCATTATTCAGAAACTCAGTTTCCCCGATTTTGATCTTTCTGCTGCTCTCTTACGATGTTTGTTATGAAATGCATCAATTCTTTTCTGAATTGCAAAGTAACATCAGCAAATAATGTAAATTGCCACGATTGGCTAATAATTAATGCTTGATAGTGCTGGATTTGAAATGGCAAAAGACTCTCTTGTTGTCAGCCCTTGAACTACCTGGTTTCTCCTTCAGATTAAAATGATACAGTTACACAGAAGTATGCACAGAATAACTTCTAAAAACTGAATATTTTAAAGTATACTCAAAAAAATGGTATGTTCAGAAAAATTAACCTATGAAATGACACTTAGTTAGTCTTAATGTTGTTGTCCAGGAAGCCGAAGATTGTTTGGTACCATTTTGGAAGCAAATGTCTGTGTTTTGATTGATACATCTGGTTCCATGGAGCCTTATTTGCCACATGTCACAAAAGAACTTACCTCCCTCATCTGGGAACAACTGAGAAGAAAAGAACTCAGGTATGTATAAACTACTGATAAAGATGGAAACATGTACTACTATTTTATGTAATGTTCTGTAGCAATTATTAATAAAACAGTACTGAGGGATAGTACAAGTAACTACTATATGGTGGTGTTAAAACATGCAAATGACATGAATGGCTGTATTGTTCTTTGTAGCCAACTTCTGATTCTCTGCTCTATAATTTTGGGGTCTCGTTTGCCATTTGTGATGCTGTTTATCCTGTTGGGCTCATCATTCTTTGACATTTTTTTGGTAACTCAGAATAAGATACACTTTCTGACACTTCTGAAGCTGAAAACTCTATTTCAATCATAATTCAATGATAAGTTGTTAGGTGGTGGGTTTTTTTTTCTTTCTTCTTCTATTTTGAATCTTCTTCATCCAAGATGATGGATAATATTGGCTAGGGTCAAATGTTGTGGGCTGTCTTTCCTGCCAGGTTTAACCTGTTGAGCTTTGCAGAAAACTTGGAGAGTTGGAGAGAGTATCTTGTGGAGGCAACTGATGAAGCATGTCATGATGCTGTACAGTGGGTGTCCAGATTACAAGCTTATGGTAATACATGCATCCTTAGGGCTCTGCAGGTTAGTAAACTGCATATGATATTGTAGTGAAGAAGAAATGGTATAGATGTAATAAAGCACTGTTTTTATTTGGTCAAAATGCACAAGACTTTTTACCTGCAAAACCTTGAACAGATGTGGAATCAAGTCACTGTTCCTGTTCCCAAAGCTCATAAATACTAGAATTTTTTGCTTGTATTCAGTTTAAGGAAAACATGAAATGTCAGTAGTGGCATTAACCTCCATGCATTTAGAGTGAACTGGAGAAGGAAAATAGCCAGTTCTTCAAATGACTGTCATAGCAAACTTTCATAATATAAAAAGGCCAAATCCTAATAGGCCTGGCTTTCAGTCATTAAACATCTATAAGTTCCAGCATACCAACCATAGTGTGACAATCTCCTGTGAGCAGTTGTCTGAAACCAGACCAGTGGACCCACTCACTTCTAGCTTGTTTTAGTGAGTCACTTTTAGATGACACCTTTCTTCTAGATTTATTGCATTATACTACAAACAATCCATTTTAAGGAATTACATCTTTGCTAAGCAGTAACTAAGATCTCCTTCATACCTACTAAAAGGAAAAGATAACACTAACTTGATTTATGATGTGATGAATATATAGCTATCATATTATTGGAATACTGTTTTCATTCCGAAATGTATGTTTTTATGTAAAATGTCCTAATGATTTAAAATTATTTTTCTCCTTTTTTCAGAAGGCTTTTGGTTTTCAAGATATAGAAGCTGTGTATGTATTGACTGATGGAAAACCAGACACCAGTTGCAGTCTCATTTTAAAAGAAATTGAAAAATTCAGAAAGAGACAAGATATTAAAGTCCACACTATTTCCTTTAGCTGTACAGACAGGTATATGATATTTTTCAAAAAATTAAAAAAGTGCAAGTTTACTTGGTGTCAAAGAGGTTTGCATTGTCGTGTCCATGTGCTCAGCTCAGTGGACACCAGAGTTGAGCTCATGACTTGCATGTCATTTGGTTAACTGGTCAGTGATGGATCATTGTCTGTTAAGCGAATCAGCTCATAAAGGAGACAGATGTCACTGAGTTGTTCTGAAACAAAAACTGCTGCTTCCTTTTGGAAGAACTGTGTTGTAGTTATGGAGATTTTAGTATCTACTTCTAGAATTTAATCAATCCTTGCAGCTTACTTGATATTAACAGAAGTAATATTAAAATTAGCACCATTAAGGGTGTTAATCATTAGGAGAGAGGTGACTCATACAGGAAAAAAAAATGTAATAAAGGTTTGTGACTTAGGGTGTTTGTAATGAGAATGTAATAACTACACTGGTGATCCCAACACTCATGTTTGGGTCAAGTAGTAGGCACTTACAAAAGGGTGTAAAAATAGAGTACACACAACTGCTCCATCCCCTATGTAAAATACTACTCTGCTTTCCCTGCCAGCTGGGTTTCTTTGTTCTTATGTAATATCCGAGGTGGTTTTTTTTGTTGTTATTGTTTGTTTGTTTGTTTGTTTTGCTTAGAAGATTAGAAATCAAGTTTATAATGAAGTCCTTCAAACTGTTTGTTTGGACAAAAGATTCTTTTGAGAAATTTTTAAGAAATTCTTTTATTGTTGTTGCTGTTAGAGTTTTTATAAGTAACTTTCTATTTTATTGCCAACAGAAAAGCTAATGAATTTCTGAAGAAACTTGCTTCCCAAACAGGAGGGCGCTACCATTGCTGTATTGAAGATGTGGATGGACAATTAGCAGCACACAGAATGCTGACAGAAGGGCTTGATGATGATGATGTATGTTAAGTGATTCTTTGGATTGGTTTTGTTTAATTTGAACATAGTTCATCAGGCTCCATTTAAAAAAGAAAAATCATTAGAAAATAAATGCAAGACTCCTTAGATACTTCACACTGAAACAAGGCAGATAAATCCTTATATCTGTTTTTGCCTCTCTGCAAAGAGAGGCAAAGCAGAGTCAAACTATGTTCTAAGTAGTTATTTTGCTTTCCTTCTGTAAACAATTATCCCAGTAGTATGTGCGAGCAGTGAGATTCAGAGCTTTTGCTCAGCTAATTAAATTGTTAGAAATTGAAAAAAAAACACAAGTGCGAGTGAAGTATATTTTAATTCTGTTTTCAGAATCCAGTTTTCCCTTACTTTGAAGGAGATGACTTAAAGAAACTTACTCAAGAAGTAACAAAAGCCAGAAGTTTTTTAAAGCAGGCAAATTCTTTGAAGTGAGTATTTTATAAAACAGCGTTCAATCCTTTTTTTCCCCCTCCTTCCATGAAAGGATGACAAGAATATGTGACTTAGTGTCAGCCTTTTAAAAATCACCATTTTTTCCTTGTGCTGTCAATTTTAGTGTTTTCTTGTGATTTGGAAACTGCCATGCAAACAAGCTTGTTGCCTTAGTGGGATTTAGTTCTGAGATCTAGCACAACTCTTGCAGTAGAGGATCTGAGCAGGTTTTGAGAGTGTTAAACAAGGCTGTATTTTTTTTCTTTCTGTCACTTGATCTCTCACTCTTATTTTGAATAGAAATATATGAATTTCTCTTCCTGCTAAGTTCTGTCTTATGCAAATCATTCTCCCCCCTCTATGTAATTTAAAAACTGTCATTAATGTCGTGCATTGTCCTTTTTAGTACCTTGTTAGTCTGACCTGTTGCTATGAAACACAGTTCATTTTTTATTTTCTAAAGTCTACATGGGCTTCTTGTACCCTACCTCAGCCTGACTTCTCTAATCATGCCGTTCTCTGCTGAGATTGTCACCTACATGGAATAATGTTCAACACTTCTGTTCTCAAACAATCCTATCTCAATCCATCTGCTCTTCCAGTTATCATCTATCGTCCTTTCTCTTTGCCTCTAGCTACCTGTTTTCTGTTATACAAAGGCATGGCTAAGCAGAGGAATATGCATAGCTACTATGTATCTTTATGAAAAACAGCTGTAATTTTTTTTTCTTCTTTTGGTTTTAATAGGTTATTGATAGAAAAATGGAATGTAAACCAAAAGGACAATTCTGTCTTTAAAAAAAGTGCTCAGGTAAATAGATCACCACAAATAGATCATACTTTATGTATAGTTTATATATGTCAATATATAGCTTAGATTTGTCAATATAATATTTGTCAATATTTTGTAATCTTTGTGTAAATAAGTATTAATTTCCAGCAGAGACTTTCTCCAGAGTTGAAGATGTGATGATAGCAGTGTTAGTTTGACATGGAACTAATATAGACAAAGAACAGTTCGAAAGAGAACTGTTCACTTTGGACTAGGCAGATGGATGTTGGTATTTATGAACAGTTTTGTTCTGTTTCAAGAGCAACCTGCTAAGCATGGGTTAGGGCCAGATGTAAAGACTGAAATAATTGCTACATGGGATGTGTGATTTACTAATTTAAATGGATAGAACTGTTTGGGAAAAGACCCTATTAAGAGGAAAGACATGATCTTCTAATGCAAAACTGTATAAGACAGCAGGAGAGGCAGCTGGACACACGAAACATCTCAGAGAGCCAAAATGCTGCTTTTAAGTTAGCAAAACAAAAATTACAGTAAAAGATTAATTGCTGTATGAAAAGTCAGTAACACTTTCTCTGGATAAACAAGAAAGGCAAGAACTGACAAAAGCAGATGTCACAGCCTTTTTTAAGGGGAAAATTAGGCATGCAAATAACTGCAGAGGCCTCCTGCAACTTGTATTTTGGCTTACAAATATTGTCCAGTCAGAGAGAAGAAAAATGTCTTGTCGAGACTCATTCATTAAAGAATATCTGCTTCACAGGGAACGGACCCTGGTCATTGGTCATATATGTGCAGAATTCAGTGTATAGGGGCTGATTGCTGAAGAGGGAGACTTGGGAACAGATGTTTAACCATCTTGTAACAAGTAAGGCGTTACAAGCATGTAGATATAGAGGCTAGTGTTCCTTATCTATCTCAGACGTCGTCTTTCCAAGGTAAACTGCTTGTAAAACATAGCAAGACATTTCTTTCATGTACTTGAAAAAGTCCATAGCATTGTAGCACAGTTAAGAAGGTAGTCAGGAAAATTGCTAGTTACTCAATTTATACTGTTCTTGCAGTGTCATTTTTATCAGATGTGGTGTTGAGCCCATGTGTTTCATACATTTTGATTTGTATTTAAAAAACTATCCATGTGCTTGACTTGTAGGATTAAGATTTAGACCAACAAAGGGTGCTGAAGAGGTTTGGAGTGGTATGACTAAACAGCTGCTTTTCAATATGTGCCTAAAACTTCCAGCTTCAAGAGGAAAGAGTAGAAGAAATACTCTTTGTCTCTGAGCTTTTCTGGCAAGAAGAGAGGTTACAGATGACAAGTACTGCTGACTTATTCACTTGCAGACTTTGCAGATCTCAGAAATCAAACCTTGAACTCTCCAAAGTCTAAGTTTAAGTAGAGGATAGCTATCAGTATAGGTAATACAAATTACAGAAAATTGAATTAATTTCTAATGCAGGCAGTAACTGCACAGGGTCTCAACTCTTGTTTCTCTTGAAACTAGGAAAAAATGTACTGAATCGCACTAAGAATTACTTTGGTTAGTTGGCAGTATGTCCGAGATGTCTTTCTGGCAGTTGGCTTGAGATACGATTACTGGTGCTTATTCGCCTGAGCAAGTGATACTAGATGATACTAGAAAGAGAAATCTTCATGCTAGCTTTGAATTAAAAAAAAACAAATCCAGGAAACTAGCAGAAAAAAACAAAGACTGGAGTAATTATTTTTTCCTCAAGAAGTTTGCTAATAGTTCTTCCCAGTCTTTCTTTTTTATGTTGTCACTAGTGAAGGATTTAGAGTGGATTCAGAAATCTGCAGACATGTAAACAATTGCCATCCCTGTTGCTGGTAAAACCTGGTTGTGTTTGTATAAGCAGGCACTGATAGTTTGCACAGAAATTCAATTAAATTCTTACATAATGGCTTCCTATCCTGTGAAGACAGCTCTGCATCTCCCGGGCATGCTCCCCTTGTAGGCTTGAAGTAGGTGTTAGCAATTCAGAAGTCTGCTAGTTGCTGATGGCATAAGTTGGCAGTTCTATTTGAGAAAAACACAACAGAAGAGTAAGGAACAGATGTTTACACTAGGATTTGTGTGACCGGAGAAGTTCAAGGTGGTAAAGTGTGAGGGTATTGGTCATTTCACCCCTCCGATTTCACGTTCTTTGTAAGCTCAGGCTGTGCCGCCTTTCTTGTCTGTGCTCGTCCGAAGCCTCGTGGCCTTGCCGGTTGGTCTGCTTGGAGGAGATCCCTCCTCTTAAGTATGGTTTCTGTCTCCTGCCTATTTCCTTCCTGGGGAATCTTGTCCTACCTGCTCCCATCAATCTGAGGAATACTTAGAGAAATATTTTAAGGTGGTGGATCGTTAATGACCACCTGATTGTGTGCTCTGTTAATGCTTTTTCTATGTTGATCTCATATATATGTCACTTGCCCTCCCAGTTTGCCCTTCCTGGAGTGCAATTCATTGTATTTAAGACCTAATAAAAAGGAATTTTATAATTAACAAAGACTACCAGCTTGTTTGTAAATTGTGACATTGCTGTGACTCACTGAGTATTTTGATTTGCATACAATGGATTAAAGGCAAACAGCAAAACCAGTTACCACCTTCAAGAATGTGACCTCCCACCTATCAGAAGATTGCTGGGTTTGCAGCAGGGGTGGGTATCCTCAGCATGGAACAGCTCATGAACCGCTGTAATTTGCAGCTTCCGATTGCTGTGCTGAAGTAAACTGGCACAGAGGCCAGAAAAGAAAACACTCCTGACTCGGGTATGGAGCAAGGGTGATGGGCAGGTGGAGTCTCAAGTCTCCCTGCTTTGCACTACAACTAGGAGAAATGGTCAATAAGTTTAGGCTTCAGAATCAGCATTTGGCATAATTCCTCTTGCTTTCCTCTTCCATCCATCCTAAGGTGCCTCTCATGCCCTTTTAATTCCTTCACTGTTTTTATGGGCAGGAAGCAGTGATGATGATCTGTACTTCCCTCTTCCAGTGCAATAACAGTTAAAAACCCTTTGCATTTCGAAGGAATCATAGTAGAATTTCTCTTCAATAACGTTTTCTTTTAAACCTGCAAACATATCAGTTGAGGTGTTTTTTTAATTTATTTTTTGAAGCAATTCTCCAGTACAAGTTAATTCAGCATTTTTTTTAAGGATGCTTTTCTGTATCTTTCCTTTTAATGTTGTGTACTGCCCCCTTGTCTAACAAGACCTTAAGGGGAATATTGCTAGTGAAGTTGCTTTACTGATGCTTAGTTTCTTGACCCATTTTCTCCCTGACTCATCAATGCAGTCTTACAGTTACTGCATTTAACCTGTAAATCACCCTGTGTAGCCTGCAAAGCAGCTGAACTACAAAGTAAATGAGAAAAACCTATTTTGAAAAGCATTTTATATGGCATGTTCTATAGGAATACTTCATAGTATTTATGAGCAGTGGTTTCCTTCCAAGAGGAGATACTGAAATAAAGAGGATCATAGATTACAATACCCAACGATACAGGAAAAACGGAAAAAAATAAATGGATGTTTATGTGTGATAATAAAGACTGATGGGTTTAAGAAGAATCTGATCTCAGCTTTGCACCTGGCTGGCTGAAGAGTGTAGAAAAAAGTTCTGTTTTTGAGGCTTCTGTAGCTGTGTCATGCTTGTCTAACTTAGTAAGGAGGTTGAAGAATACTGTACTGTTATGAAGTTGTATTTAATGTTGGATTTGGATGGTGCATGCTTTTGGTTTTAGATGACATCTCATTGTGTTAATACTGCGTTGCGCTGCCGCTTTAAGGGCTACTTTGCTCTTCAGAAATATTTGATATGTGCTAATGTTTATCGCTACGTAAAATTTATATGAAAAATAAATATTTTGTGTCCTGTCCCAGATTCAGATACCGTGATTTCTGGTTTTTGAAGCACTGATAACATGAATAAATTGGACCAATATATGCATACTTTGAATTGTTTCTTCTGAAATGTGTTGGTAAAGGAGGGTATCGCTATATTTTTGTTACTCTTTAATCTTGACAGTAACAGTGGAAACAACTGCATGTCCAGTGTTGCTATCGGTCTGATAGAACTCCACTAGCAGGTATCTACTTCTAAAATATTAATTATTCTAAAGTCTGAAAATTCTAAATTCTAAAAATATTCTACTTCTAAAATAGACTATTAAATTATAAACTCAGCCGATCTTTTGAGGTCTCAGAGGATCTAATGAATCTGCCATTTGATCATGTATGCATGTTTGCAGCTAATAACCAAATGGTAAATGACCTATTCTTTTTTTTAGGATATCTTCCTGTTTGCTTAGAGAAAATATCATTTGCTGTGTATTTTAGATTAATGGATCTTCTTCTTTAGTCAATTAATGTTTTGTCATCCTTTCTGCACTTTGAAAAAACAGAATGGTAAATTGTGTATGTTTGTGTTGCTGTAATATGATGTTCTTGACAACTGCTAACTCAGTGTCTTTTGTAAAACACCATATGGTGATTTTTATTCAGATTTGCTACTCTTGAGTAGTTTCTGTAAGTGTACTTTGAGAGCTGTCTCATAGCTTTTCAAGCTGAAACTATTTCAGCAGAATTGATCAAGTTCATAACAAAGTCTTCAAAATCATGTGATCAACCCTGATTTACAATTTTTAAAAAGTACAATATAGGAAGAGAGACTATTGTTATGGAGTTATTTTTGCAACATCCTAGAACTCTTGTGATCCTGTGATCAGTAACGAAGCATTATTTTGCTAAATAGCACTAATGAAGAGCAACAACTTGGAGTAGCCGTATTTTCAAGTTAACTTGGATCTTTCAGACTCTATAATGATTTTACTTTGGTGTATTTTTTAGGAAGAATTCTGGGACAAGTGGCAAAAAGTTTTACATGGTCATTTATAACCGTAAAAATCAAATTATTTAAAGTGTATATTTTATTTGTATTAATTTTGGTAATATTTCTCATCTAAAGGCTGGTAGCTGAAACTCAAAGAAGTGATCTGAAAGCCTGGGAACGAGCATTAGGAAAGCAAGACAGGAGCACCAAAAAAGCCGGATACCAAAACAACCTTCAGAGAGTTCAGTAAAGAGCAGGGCCTATCAAATGGTAGAACAAGATACTTCAGAGCAAAGATATTTTTGCTACAATCAAGCATGGAATTGGAAAGAGTCTGTGTATAGATAAGTCAAGTTGAACTTTCCCAACCTAGAGAACTTCTAATTCAAGAAAAATGGAAGACAAAGCTCACTCCAAGCATGCAGTGCCAAGAGCTTCAACCAGCTTCCCTCTTAGCCAGTCAAAAAAGAATTTATTGCTTCTCACCTATTTAAGCCACAGTATTCATTTTTGTAAGTTTTTCTCCTTTATAGCTCAGGTAGAAAACTTCATTTTAGTTGTACATGGGAACTAATGGCACTAGTGCTCCTAAAAGTAAACAGCCAAGGTCTTTCATAGTATGTCCTGAGGTTTGGCATACCAAAACAATGAGCAATTTATAAAAATTCAGTCCTTTAATTTTAATTTCCCAATCCTTTCCACCTTCAGGCTCACCAAGAGAGGATATGTAGATTTTCTAGCTCTGTAGTCTGGACCATCATTTTGTGCTGATTTTATGCTGGGACAAGATCTGGACATGTGTCTTCATGCTTTGGTTTGCACACAATGAACCTTAAGCACATGAACCCAAAGTCGTCAGAGGAGCATTTCAACCAGTCTGTAATTCAGAGTACCAGCAATAGCCACAAACAGGCAGCTTCGTGGTGGATTCCTGATGCTCCCAATCAGTTCTTTGTGTCGTAGACCCTAATTCAGCTAAATGCTTTCTTTGCCTGTCAGCCTTTGATCTAGCAGTCAAAGGAAATCAGAATAAAAGAAACCACAATGAGCTTTTTCTGACAGCTGCTTCAACCAGCTGGCCTTCTGAGGCTGTCTCATGATGAGAAGACAACTTCCCCAAGGAAGGATGAATTGGCAAGGGCAACTTAGGGCAAGGACAGTCGAGATCCGCATTGCATCTGATTTTAGTACAGGGTCCTGTGCTCAGCTTATTAAGATTTTGTTCTCCCTTGTCTCAATATCTGTTGTCATCTTCTTCCGCCCTCTGTTTCTAATTTCTTCCAGAGTGTGGTGGTAGGAAAGTTACCGTCCTCAACTCTTCATAATTATTTCAGCCTGTCTCCCTGCTCTGGATAATCT